TGCTCAAAGCAATTATTTTAAAAGTGCGTGAAAATCAGGCTCAAAGGTAAACAAAAAAAATAAAGACATATTTATTGGCTCAGGAGTGTTGTGGTTCATTTTTACTTAAGCTCTAATTTTTTTTTCTTTTATTAAGAGAAACTATCAGAACAAATCAGTTTGATGCTAAAGAACATGAGCACAGAAATATTTCTTTCCAACTAGTCGGAGGCAAAAACTGTTTTATTTTATCACATCCCAGGAAGCTTTCCTTTCAGATGTGCTGTACGGATACTGTTATCATAATGTAAAGTGGTGATGAACTCATTGAACTTAATGTCCCACTGATGACATACTGTTGGAAAAAAGCCACAGGAGTGTGAACCCTGTGACCCCTGTCAGCCCCAGGCAAAAGGTGAGCTTTTGTTTTTCAAATGTAGCAGTCTGACATTTGCCCCTCACAACACATTCTGGTGAAATACCTTCTTATACTACAGAAAGAAATAAAAACAGTTGGTGGACAAAGACAAACAGACTGATTGGCGCGTGTGTGTGGTGTCTCACACACACAGTAGCACCCACACAAGCCAGCAGACGCAGACGGCACAGACACTCCTCCTCATGCGAGGAGGCTGTACAAATTAAAGTTTTAATCAAAATTAAGACAAAGAAAACACGCCTACTTCTGATTGCAATCAGGAATGAGGACCAAGTCCGAGGGACACCGTTGCCCCCTGGGACACCCCTGCCGCCACAAACACAAAGGGGAAGAAAGACGACACAATTGCCGCCTTTCTCCCAGTCAGGCAACTCCTACAGCAGAGGTGAAAGCCTCTTGCCCGCCTGCTGTAGCAGAATAAAGCCATGGATGGGAGGGTCTGGGACTAATTCTCCACCCAGTGCTGTCCCGTTGGGAAGAGGGGGGTCACCCAGCACCCTTTGATATCCCTGTCTGCACTCTTTCAGGCACTTTGTGATCGCTAGAATAAAAGCAGACACAAAGCTTCCTGCTCCAATCCACACACTGTCTTGGGAACGGGGAAGCGGGTGTGGGGGTCCTCCATTTAAATAGGCCAAACACCTGCTGGACTGAAGCCCCTTCCGCTCGAGCACACCACTTCTCTAAAAACCAGTGAGGCAAAGAAACATTTAGATTGATACATCTATTCAAGTTGCATCTTTGTATGAACGATCAAACCTTCATAATTACATGTAAGCATGGACACGGCAGAAGGCGAGCCATAATGGACCAAGGACTAAAAAGGAAATGACGTAAAGCTCAATTTGAGAAATGGTAAAAATTGGGGTTGATCTTAAAGGGGTGACAAAAAGGTCAACATGGCCAATACTCTGAATTAAAACAAGTGATAACAATTTGCTCGGATCAAGAAAAATAATTCTCTTCAGCCAAACAAAGACTAATAAACGCCTTCATTTGGATGGCAACAGCCAACGAGCACCCTTTTGAGGCACTCCAATAGGCTTAGTAACCCATTCCAAAGTGGCAGCTGTCAGAAGAAAAGTTGCTCTGCCTCTCAGACGGGGTTGTGTGTGTCTGAAGTGGATTTAGCTTTTTTTCTGCCTGGATGGAGGAGGGAGGGGTGGTCGACTGTCCGGCTGGCACTCTGTTCAGGGTTGCCCTGCGAGCTCAGTATGTTGCAGTGAGCCTGAACAACTGTGCCTCAGTCTGGCCAGACAAGCACTTCACACTGCTTTTTGATGAAATCACCATGCTGTGTCCGCAACTTCCATAGGCTTCAGGTCCCATGGGGATTTGACAGTCTAGTCTGTGTCCACACGGCCCATATAAAACAATAATATGTTAGCAAAGAAATGAGGCACCCATATGGATCCTACAGCTGAAAGATTAAACAGAAATGATCAGGGAAAAAAAAAATCAGATATCACAATGCATAATCTCCCCACAGTTAACGAAATAAAAGGATTTTACGGTTTTGCCTGCCTTAAATATTGAATACTGATTTGTCACACCCATTGTCAGGGCATCAATGTAAAAACAGGGGGAGGATCAAGACACGTAGAAAACTGCCAAGTGTAAAAGTATGGCGTTTCCATTAGGGGTGGAAGATAAAATCTATTTTTAGATGCATCGCATTGTGGACTTGGAAGACTCTAAATTAATTTGCAGATGTCAAAAAATGGTTTGAGCTGCCACTTTAGGCGAGTCAGCAGAATAGTTGCTGCATTGTACCATTTGTCCTAGTGGTTATTGTAGATTCTTATAGTAGAAACATGTTGAAGCAAAGCTGTGAGTTTTCATCTTTTCATTTCATGTCTGCAAATATTAGCTGGAGTTATCATAACAAGAACAACTTTAGTATTAACTTCAAAATGCCCACTTTTTCTATGGAGTTTTCACTGTGAAGTTAGCATCTATGCTAATTGTTAGTCAGCCTGTGCCTAATCCATCCATTCATCATCTTTTATCCGCTTCTTCCTTTTCAGGTCGCAGGGTTCGCTGGTGCCCATGACCAGCAGTCACTGTCTGAGGGGTGGGGTACACCCTGGACAGGTCGCAAGTCCATCACAGGGACACATAGAGACAAAAGAGACAAACATACACTCTCTCATTTGCACCTAGGGACAATTTAGAGTTACCAATCAGCCTAACATGCATGTTATTGGTCTGTGGGAGGAAACCAGAGCACCTGGAGAAAGCCCACGCATGCACAAAGAGAACATGCAAACTCCACCCAGAAAGGTCCCTGGCCAGGATTTGATTCAGCGACCTTCTTGCTGAGGCAACAGCTCTACCAACTGTGCCACCGTGCCGCCCCTGTGCCTAATTTTGTTGTTGTTGTGCATTCTTTACTATGCATGAACATATTAATCAGTGTTTATTTATGTAATAATAAAATAATTTTACCCAAAAGATTTTGTCAGTCTGAGGAGTGACTGATAAAAGTCTTTTGGATTAAAGACGAAACATTTCAACAAGAAGAATTCGTACAGAGGACTTGACTTTACTTTTTTTTTTTTTTAAGATTTTTTTTACCTGGATTATTGAGCATGCATCAGGATATAAACAAAATGCTTTGATAATTATTTTAGACGTGAATCACAACGTTCAATCGAACCGAATAGCGAGGTGCCTCAAAATTCCAACAAATAGTTTCTACGACATATTATCAGTTACCGTACTGATTCAGAAAAATATATAAAGGCAAATTAATAAAAAAAATGAGTAAAAACACATAGTTCGTCGAGATTAAATGTTCTACTATTCTCTTCATCCTAAAATATAAAGACATACCTGATTAAATTTAAATAAACCAGAATGTAAATAAACTTCTTTAAGTGTTGAACTGCAACACATATCATTGAACCTGGCTGGTACATTTTCCTCAAATAAAAACCACCCATAGCCTGCAGAGAAATAAAAAGTGTACTTCCTGAATCAAAAAAAATAAAAATTATATATATATAGCGCCTAAATGAATATCTGTGAATGAGCACTGCTGCACTCCAGGTAAATGCACTGTGAGCTCGGATGCGAAGCTTTGGCCCTGGTGGTAAACAGTGAACTCCCACCGCAATGAAAGGCATGCTGCTCATCACGAAGGAGGAAGATTCGCTAAGGCGAACACACCCCCACATCACACGGGCCGTCAAGAAGGGGCTCGTTGTTATTGTAGCCAGCCCTGCCTGCGCAGTCACTACCAAGCTTTATTTCTTACCAAACGTGGCGAAATTAGCCCTTAACAAAAAAAAAAAAAAAAAGAAAACACCCTTTATATCGCTTCTAGACTGGATGGAGTGATTTCTAGCATGAGGCTGGGCGTCAGACGTCATGGATCTGATGTATTTGTACTAGCTACGTACTGACTGTAGAGAAGGGGGAAAACATGTCCACCTCCCATTTTCTTATGCATCAGCAGTAGCCCCGATGGCTAGCGTGGCGTAGCATCATGTTAGCTTCACGCTAAAAAAAAAAAAAAAATAAGCTATTGGAAATTATTTAGTTTTGCGCATGAGCTCCGCCGACTTTTACCCCCCCTTTTAATGATTTCACTCGCCGTAGCGAAGCTCATGCCGGAGGGAAGCAGGAGCAAGCTCCAAAATGCAACTTTACCACGGGATGGTGTAGTTTTAGCTACAAGCTGCTAGCCTGCGAGCTAACCGAGCGGCTAAAGCTAGACGCCTCTGTGTATAAAAGCGAGCCCCTGTAGCTCGTGTTCTTCATACCTGGCTAATTATTTACTCGCTAAAGATTATCCGATATCAATCCGAGTCGGGTTGAGGGAGTACGGAGCAGCCCTTCTAAGAAATGCCGCAGACAGACGCTAAGTTGACGTTAGCTCGTTACAAACCACAACACTGCTCTCTCGCTTCCGTCCAAGTTGTTTCCAAACACATTGCACGCTGCCCTGGAGCTCCTTCATCGTTACACCACACATAAAGACGTAATAAAATATACTGTTGAAGTGCTTGGTTTGGGAAGGTTAACTTTTACAGCGTCAGTGAGGGTGAGTTTGAAGGAAGCAAGCCGTAAAAGGGCTTCAAATTGAGCTACTGCCGAGTTGATAACTAGTAACCCAGGGGTAATGACATAGTTATAAAGTGTGTACATGTCAGCGACGGTTCTGGTGTCTGGTTCGTGTTATTTGGGCTGCATGGGGTAAAAAACGAAGTAGCACCGGGGGTTTATGCTCTGTGGTCTCTGTGGCTAGCGACCTAACGTTAGCATCAGTTCGTCCAAGCCCGTGTGGATGTAGCATGTCCACTAAGACGAAGAAAACTTTACAACGGTGAGGTAATGGGGTAAAAACGATGATGTGTGCGATGTTTCTAAATCAAGTTAAAACTATAATAACATATAAATGTGGAGTTTAAAAGGCCACGCCGACTCAAAGTTAACTGAGCATCCTTGCAATGACAAGTTTGCGGGCAGGAGGGGATGTTTTAGGGACAGTAACCGTTAGCTCCTCTTCTCCGGGGGTAAGAGGACCGTAGTGCCCCGCCACTGTCTAACCGACGCCCGCAGCTCGTCTCGGGCTTACCTCTGCGCTGCTCGAGTCGCTCGATTCCCCCAAAACCTCACGAAATTTCTGCAGGTTGCTCCCGATAACCGAAGAGACCTGTAGTGCAGCGTCAAACCCGGGTCCGAGTCCAGCTGCGTTAGGCTGAGCTCCCGATACACTCCGCAAAAAGGCAGAAACCCTGATTCGGCCCGCTCTCCTCCCGGTACCGGAGTTGCTGCTCCCTCCGGGCCGAGCAGGGAACCGCCACCGACAGCTGTGCGCCATTTTACACTCTCTGCCTGTCTGCCCTACGATCAGATACCTCGGTGGGCGGAACCCTAACCCAGCACTCCACATAAACAACATCTACCACAGCGCTCCGCTCTCACTGGCGAACTCGTCGTTATACATGTTACCGGGCGGCAATAAAGAAACCCCGACAATGCATTTTGTTAGCGGGTCTCTTGAAGCTTTGCATGGCTGAATTCAAACCAGGTTCAGGGGCTTTGCCCGGGAAACGACCTCTCTCTTAAATCTCAGGGACGGAAACATCTTGTAGTGCGGTTAATTCATTCAAAATGTAACTTTAGGAAGCTTATTAACTGCAGACAAACTGAAAAGTTACAAATTAAACCAAGCTACATGAAAAAAGTGAGTTCCAGTAAATCAACTAACTCCGTTAATGAGTCACAAGACAACATGTAGGCGTCAACAAATTGTGTACAGCAAAAATAAATTGTATACAATTTAATCAAAGCAACAACAAAAAAATTACAGTGTGCAAGAATAGATTTAGTTTTAAGATTGTATAAAGTCAAAGCGTAGGCTGTGGGGATTATTTAAGTTAAGTTTATTTATATAGCGCCAAGTCATCTCAGGGCACTGAACAGAAACATTCATATAAAAAAAGTTAACGCTTTATCTGAGGAGCAGACTGCTTTGAGTTTAACTCCATCACAAAACTCTCATTTTGAGCAAGCACAAAGGCGACAGTGGAAAGGAAAAACTCCCTCATGAGGAAGAAACCTTCAGCGGAACCAGGCTCAGGACATGCAGTCATCTGCTTCCAGATAAACCAAGTGATCTTTACAGGTGCTGCCATGTTGTGTTTATGGAACCAGAGTCTGTGTACAATATGTCTGCATATCCCCAACACACAATCATGGTGTCACATGGCCTTTCTTTTGAGCATGAAAAACAAAAACTACCCCCACCCCAGTTCCTGCAGGTAAGGGGCATTCACTCCAGGACAAGTTGAGGTCGCCGATTGGTCAATTGCTGAGAAACCTACTGGATTGATTGACAGGTGGCATTGAGGATCCAACTCGTGCAAAAAAAAGAAAATCGTAGAATTTACTGGCCAATTTAAGTGCCATCATTTATTCCAAATTTACTCAATATTTTGGTGAATCTAAGGTATGAGAACGGAGTTTCCTTACAATGACGGTTTCTTAAAATTTCAGGGGTGCCGAGTTCAAATTTAGGGTTGCACCCGCAAAAAGAGGCTGAAATCGCCACTGGTATAGATACATACAGCTTATGTTTGTACCACTTAGCCTTACCATCATTGCCATATTTCGATAACATCTAAGTGTGTCCCAAATCTATTTTTAATGTAGCGGGAACACTAAGTAGTTCAATGGGACCATTTGAAGATTTTACAGACTCACATTTCAGAGTGTTATTATGGTATTTATATTTGCACAGAAACCCACAAACCAAAGTATATCCTTTTAAAAAATTAATAATACAATTGATATGCAGAGTTTGAAGCATTATATTGGGTACTATGGTCAGATTGTTATAAGCTTAAGAGAATGCACATATTCAACCTTTATTTATACAGGTTAGTCTCACTGAGCCTTGGGGACTCATTTACAAGAGAGACCTGTTAGAATAGCATCATATGTGGGTGTTTAAAACGTCTTCAGTTGATCCAAAGTGCTGCTGCCAGAGTCTTAACGAGTTAGTGGGAGAGATCATATCTCCAGTTTTAGCTTCTCTTCATTGGCTCCCTGTCAAGTCCAGAATTGAATTCAAAATCGTACTTCTAACCTACAAAGCCCTCAACAACCTAGCTCCATCTTATATTTGAGATCTTATTGTTCCATATTTTCCTAACAAAGCAATTTGCTCTCAGATTGCAGGCTTACTCGCAGTTCCTAGAGTTTCCAAAAGCAGAATGGGAGATCTTTCAGTTATCAGGCTCCTCTCTTGTGGAACCAACTTCCACATATTCTCCGTAAGACTGATACATTGTCCAGTTTCAACTTTCCTTTTTGATAAATCCTATAGTAAGGGCAGGCTTGTTACGCTGCCATAGGCTTAGACTAGAGAACAAATTGACCTAATTTCTTAAATTATTTGCTAAAATTGAATAGTTTTCATTTGATACTATTTCTATCAATGTGATTCTTGACCTGCCATTGTGTATCTATTCCTACCAAACCCAGATGGTCGAAACAGATGACCGCTTGTCCTGAGCCTGGTTCTGCTAAAGGTTTCTTCCTCATGAGGGAGTTTTTCCTTTCCACTGTCGCCTTTATTAATATATAATAGATATTATAATAATTAATATATAATTATTATTTTTGCATATGAATGTTTCTGTTCAGTGCCCTGCGAAGGCTTCAGATGTGACTTGGCGCAAAAAATCTGAATTGAATTGTGGCAAGCTAATGTTGAACAGCACAGACCTGCAGCATAAGCGTGTGCATCTACGTGCAAAATGAATGGACAACAACTGATGCCATACACGTTTATTGAACAGGGAGGGTCCCTTTCATTAGGGAATATTTTACTTATTAGTTATTACCTCTTGTGACTTTGAATTAAATCAGAACCAATAACTGAAAAATGCTAAATGTTGGGGCAGGTTCGATCAGGGTGACACCATCTAACAAGCTTAGGTGGTGTCACCCTGACTTCATTCAAACTGACCTAAATTCAGAGCCAAAAACAATGTGGGAAATCAATACAGCACATTCTTTGTTCTGAGGTGCTTACAAATGAAAGCTTAAAAATAGTTGATCTTTTGAGACACTTGCAAACGAAACACTCCTACCAAAGATGCAAACTGTTAGATTTTTATGAAAAAAAAAAAAATGGAGTCAAAAGACAGAAGAGAATGATTGCGCTAGTCGCTGCCAAGGCTCTCAGAGCTCCACATTAAATAGTATCTGGTGTCTCAGTCAAAAAAAGCCTCACATTATCTTTGAAAGCCTCACCTGCCTGCAGCTATTGTAATAACACAAGTTCTGCACAGAGATAAAATAGATGCACACTTGAGATCTTTCTGTTGCCAAATGACACAATCAAGTGGTAAATTGATTTCTTAGAGTGACGCAAAGAGAATGCTCATGGATAGAAAGAACAGAGTGTCACTCCAAAAGGATGAAATGACAGATATGTCAGGTGATGGAGATGTAGCTAGGCAAACAAAAAAAAAAGAGAAGTTATTCACCTTCTTCACCAGCTTCATAAAGAAAAATACATTTCTGGCCTCTTGTAGTTTGGCCATTTCAAAATACAAATTTTCTATTTTTTTATAAATCAAGAAGATTTAAAATATTGTAATTTTCCATATTTTATTCTTAAATTAAAATATTAAAAAACCACAAATTGTCATGCTTTGGAAATCATCTTAACGGTGGGAGATGTTTCACTGAATACGTACATTTTGAATCTTTAGCACTTATTGGTTCCTTTCTTTTGAATAATTCATACTCGGGTTTGATTCATCTTTTATTGCAGTGTTTCTCAAACTGGGGTCCATGGACCCCCCAGGAGTCCTCAAGCCCACAATCTGGCACTGTGAGCAGGTGCCAGGTCGTGCTGAAAAATGAAATCTTCATCTCCATAAAGCTTTTCAGCAGATGGAAGCATGAAGTGCTCCAAAATCTCCTGATAGCTGCATTGACCCTGCCCTTGATAAAACACAGTGGACCAACACCAGCAGCTGACATGACACCCCAGACCATCACTGACTGTGGGTGCTTCACACTGGACTTCTGGCATTTTGGCATTTCCTTCTCCCCAGTCTTCCTCCAGACTCTGGCACCTTGATTTCCGAATGACATGCAAAATTTGCTTTCATCCGAAAAAAGTACTTTGGACCACTGAGCAACAGTCCAGTGCTGCTTCTCTGTAGCCCAGGTCAGGCGCTTCTGCCGCTGTTTCTGGTTCAAAAGTGGCTTGACCTGGGGAATGCAGCACCTGTAGCCCATTTCCTGCACACGCCTGTGCACGGTGGCTCTGGATGTTTCTACTCCAGACTCAGTCCACTGCTTCCGCAGGTCCCCCAAGGTCTGGAATCGGCCCTTCTCCACAATCCTCCTCAGGGTCCGGTCACCTCTTCTCGTTGTGCAGCGTTTTCTGCCACACTTTTCCCTTCCCACAGACTTCCCACTGAGGTGCCTTGATACAGCACTCTGGGAACAGCCTACTCGTTCAGCAATTTCTTTCTGTGTCTTACCCTCTTGCTTGAGGGTGTCAGTGATGGCCTTCTGGACAGCAGTCAGGTCGGCAGTCTTACCCATGATTGCGGTTTTGAGTAATGAACAAGGCTGGGAGTTTTTAAAAGCCTCAGGAATCTTTTGCAGGTGTTTAGAGTTACGTCGTTGATTCAGATGGTTAGGTTAATAGCTTGTTTAGAGAACCTTTTCATGATATGCTCATTTTATGAGACAGGCATTTTGGGTTTTCATGAGCTGTATGCCGTAATCATCAGTATTAAAACAATTAAAGACCTGAAATATTTCAGTTGGTGTGCAATGAATCGGAAATATATGAACGTTTCATTTTTATCATTACATTATGGAAAATAATTACCTTTATCACGATATGCTAATTTTTTTTTTAGAAGGACCTGTATATCTTAGATCTTATTGTTTCTTTTTACACTTTATATTTTGCTATTTTTGGGAGTAACCGGGACCCTGTGTACATAATTTAGTTCCACCTCATGTACCACATGTGATGGAAACGACAATAAAGTTGACTTGAACTTGAACTTTATTCAAAATCCCCCCCCCCCCCCCCCACACTGTTTGCGTTCCGGCATTGATCAGTTTTCAAATGAAGCCCTGCTACATTCTGTTCTGTTTTATGTGAAGAGTTTTCTGAAATAACATGAAGTGGCAACACATTTGTGTTCATTAAGTGAATAGGGAAAGTTTTAAAGTGGTTTTTGATACTGTTGTGTTAATTTTCTCAAAACTGTAATTTTTGGAGGTTGAAATTAAAGTTTTTGTTAATGAAGTGTGTCTTGAATGAAAAATACCCCATGTTTAAAAGTATAAAAATTGTATTAACACGATCAAAGAACAAGTCTTAAGTACAGGTATTTATGTCACACAAATATTTTCATTGCATTAAAAAGACAAACTGATTTTTTTTTTTAAATAAACATGAGGGTTATGAGGGGGTCCCTGAAACTCTTTCTCCCCTGTAAGGGGTCCCTGGACCCAAAAAGATTTTTGTGGAACTGAAGAGGACAAAAATCTGACCTTACACATCATTTACAGAGTATAAGATTTTCTTAAGACATAACACAGAAAGATCAATTCAAAGGGTGAACTTAAACTTAATCTTCATTAAATTTATTCAATAAATAAATGGGTGTGGCTAAGAAGAAAATAATTGTGGGTTTTTTCACCCGCACTGAAAAGTATTTAAACAATTGTGCAAATAGTCTGTATTTCAGAAGTTTAATTCCTGGCTACAACTAGTTTTGGACATCACATAATCACGGTGGAAGTGTTGGATAAGGTTAAAAACGTCAAACTCACCATCATGCCCAGTGATGTTCAAACATTGAAAAAAGGAATTACGATAAAAACATTTTTTCAGTGGAGCGGGAGGTTTTCATGTCTCGTCTCCCAGTAGTCAAAATGTATTCGTTTGTTTAATAAACACATTTTGTTAGGATGACAAGTACACTGAAGTGGACTGAAAAGAACATAACATATTTTATTAGTTACATAAGTTTATTATTTAATCTTACTGTACATCCAAAAGAAACATTTTATAACCAGAATAAAAAAAATAAAAAAAACTGATCAGAGCATGCCAACAACATTTGATCCATTTTAATTCAACTGATCTTCCTTTACAACAATCTAGAACAAAGCTCCTGAATAGTTGTGTGTGTTATGAGTGTGAGCAGCTCCTTGTTCTCCACAAGGCTCTTGGGTTTAGGCACCAATTCTACTGATCCTGGGTTAACTCACTATATTTGAAGAAAATTCAATCTGTTCTGAACGCTCCGACGTCATGCACACTGCCAATCAAAAATGATCCAAACCTATATTTTTGTCTTTTCAGGTTCAATCTCAAGAACCGCGGTCACTGTAATGACCGTGAACTCAACTCAGAGCACGAATTAAATCAAATAGAATTGTGACATCATCAATCAGCATTTGCTCAGATTGCTAATACGAGGCATCTCAAAGTATATAGAGCATGTGAGATCCTCGTGTGTTTTGACAGTGAAGGCCTCCGTTTTGATAGTATCCTCGGGTCTTAGTGGGTCGAGAGCGACCACTTGGTGCCCTTTATCTCTGCGTCAAAAAGGCGCTCATTCAAATTTCACACATGAAGGTCGCAGCGCTAGTCAGCCTGCATAAACGTCCTCTGCAGCTCTGAAGGATCATTTCTAAAAACACTGAAGGATCTTTAACGTTATAGACGGGTCGTAACAAAAATCTCTTCCAAGGGTTTCCTCACTTCTACAGTATGCTGCGCTGTTATTTTGGCAGCGACGCTCAGGATTTAGCAACAGCTGTAAACAGCGTCCACATTTACAACCAAAACTAAAATGTCTACAAATCTTGCCGTTTTGCTTTTATTCAGATCGATTTGGGTTTCTTTCGATTTAGCGAGCCTTAAAACATTTCGAAGCGTAAATCTTTTTAACCCCACATCTTCCATAAATTAATTCTCCGGTTTACTGCGTCAAAACACCCCCTGCAGAAAATAAGGTTTGAAAGCCTGAAAAAAGTAGAACGTCTTCATTCGGTTAAGTCTCAGAGAAGCAGATCTTTTACAGCTCGTCTGAGATTTACTCATAAATGTGCAATCATATAGTAGTCTTTGAGAGGCAGTGTATATTAGATATTTTCTTTATGAGTGGAATCAGTTTGAAAGTACAAACAAACATGTTATTTTAGAGTTCCCAAAAATACTTACCTTGCGTTATAAAAGCAAATCTGAGGCAGCTGCTGATCATTCTGCCCACAGTTCTGACTGTAGTAATCACAGCAGCAGAGGCTGCGTCGTTCTGCCGGTGTCTACACAGCAGGGCAGCTTGGGATCATAGAGCCGTCACCGTGCATTGATTCTCAAGTTGTTACCAGCAGGTGGGATATAGTTTGTTGCAGAGATGATCCGTTAAGCATGAAAAGGCTAATGCAACGTCAGCTGGAGGAGAGAAGTCGGGGAAAATCCACAGAGGTAAGCACACTGGATTTTAAGGGTTTGCCGTGAAGCAGTGTGTGTGAGCCAGGGAGGAAAGAGTTTTTCACAGGAAATAGGCGAGGGCTAGCCGCTGGGTCCCAGCTGCAGCTTCTCCTGCTTATGCTTATCCAGCCACTGTAAGATCTGCTGTTTGAGTTCCTTGTTGGGCCTGATCTGGTCCATGGTAAGAGGACTGCGGTTGAAAGGGTCTGTCTGGTCGCTGCAAGGATTTTTACCAAAATGAAAATGCATCAGAACAAGAGTAAATATTACAGATAATTGATGTTTTTCAGAGGCAACAAACCTGAGGAGATGTCTGGCTATGGTTGAGCGGTCCACTGTTACATTAGAAGAAGGGAGAAGAACAGGATCCAGCATCAGCGTGGACATGATGGGGTCCAAGAACTCATCTGGAGCATCTGCAAAGGTTTCCTCTTCCTGCTGTTGCCTGTCTGCATGTGACTAAAAGGAGGCACACAAACAAAAAAAATAATAATAATCAGCTGTTGTGCTCTGCTGACTGTTGCATAAATTCATAAAGATTTACATTGATGTCACTCTCTGACAAACCAAAACTCTAATTATACCTTTATTTTATCAGCAAGGAGACCAAAAGCCACAATCATGTCACCAGGTTTGTTGATCTTCTTCAGCACACGCAGCGTCTGGGAGAAGAGGGTAGGAGAGTACGAACGTCCATCCTTTGGGACTGTAGCACAGAAATTCTCCTCATCACTGTCAAAAATAAAAAGGTGGTTTTTATTTGACTCAGCAACATGTTATTGTGGGAATGTTTCTAAAACTTACACACTACTCAGTTTTTCTTCTGTACGTTTTTCGGCACGTAACACATTCTGCAATTTTTGTGCCATTTTATTAATTCATAAATTAAGACGTTCAGGACATTCTTGCTCTGACTTTTGATATCTGTGTAGTTATTATTTTTTGAAATATTTAGTTTGGTCATGTTTTCCTAACTGAAAATGAACAGAGCACTCTCCACATCCTTCTTTATGCTGTTTACATTTTACTGCTCATTTCAGCTTTTTGTCATTTTTTCAGCTTCTTTCTGCAAACTTTTTATGCTTTTGTCTTCTAAATATTTTCCTGCTTTTCACACACTGTTTTTTGTTTTGTTTTATTTAGATATTTTTCTGCTAATTTTAGCCTTTTAACTGCTATTTTCTTTTTGCTAATTTCAGGCTTTTGTGCTTCTTTCTAATAATTTTTACCTTTTTTGCTCCTTCCTGCCTACAGTATTTTTAATAATTTCTGTTTTTTTTGTGGGGTATTTTCTGCCACTTTTTTTGCTCAAATTGTTCTCAATTTTTTCTGCTAATTTCATTTTCTTTAATGCTAATTTCAGATTTTTGTAGTCTATTCAGCATCTCTGTCTATTTCGGATAATTCTGCTAATTTCTGTTCTATTCAGCTTTTTCTACACATTTCTGATGGTTGTTCTTTTCTGCTTTCTGCTTTTATTTTCCATCTTGCAGCAAATTCAACTTGAATTAATAGTTCAGTGATGAAACTTTTTCATTAGGTTTCATAAAACATAACTTATTCAGCAGCTTTCAGCAAAAATGTCACGCTGCATTTTCACAGGAAATGCAATTTCCATAGTTTTATTTCTTCTTCAGAACATATAGACCTGCCAAAAGGACAAACTGAAGTAATTAAATTTATCAAATCTAAAGGTTATTTTCTAATGTTTTAATTACTGTTCATTCTGTTAAAAATATAGAATATTTCCACCATACCCTAAATTTAGGTAGATGGTACAGATGTCAGAAACGAGCTGCTGGGGCTTGAAGTCAAATTCGCTGAAGTCCTTGACTTTAAGCGCGCCCATCTTAGGACCAACCAGGTGCTGCAAAAAGTAGTTTAGCATCGAGATGATCCTCTCAGCCAGGAAAGGGTGCACAAAGATGCTCTTGATTTCTATTAAATAAATTGTAACACAAAAAGCAAAAAAAAAACAAACAATGGAGTTAAACATTTATTGGAAATATCCTACTAGGATGAGCTATAACCACCAAAGGTGATAAAATACGTGTACAAAAATGTTTTCCTCCATCCAAAAATAACACTATGTGTCTAAAGTGTTTAAACATCCTGTGTGTGTGTGTGTTTATGTACTTTGTTTCTTTGTTTAGATGTTTAGTTTGTGTGTGTGTTTTAGTTCATGTGTAACCTTTAGGCATGTACATTCAGGCTGCATGGCAATACTTAAAGGATAAAGAGAAAGACTCTGCAGGACGTCACATGTGACGGACGGTCTGATCTGCCTGACCTGAGGTAAGGAAGGCCAGTGTGCCGATGGTCTCGTTGGACATGATGTTGTGGAAGCGTCCCAGCTGTCCAAACATCTGCAGGCTGGACTCTTTCTCTCTTCGAGCATCAGGGGCCAGTCCTTCCCACTCCCCTCGGTCCCGTTCCAGCTGCAGAATCTTGATTTTACTTAAGTACTATGAAAAAAATAAATAAATACAGTAAATAAGTTGTTAAGTGTACAAAATTGCAACTGAAAGTAGCAACAAAAATAAAATGTTTTTAAAAACTAGTGTAATTGTATCACCATATGATTTGGCAGGACTTTAAAATAATCATTAAATTTAAATGAATAAATATGTTTTAATGGAGTGAAACGTGAACGATGTCAGTGTCACCTGAATAGCCTCGTCCAGTAGGAAGATGGCGTCGTTCATCAGTAAATTGAGGAACCTGAGGAACAGAGGGGGGTTCATGGCCTCCAGGTTCTCAGATGCATAGTTTGCTAAATGCTGAAAAAAAGACCAGATAAAACACAAATTACCCTGGACCAGCTGAAAGTAAAATATGCATTTTTACAAACAGCCCATATTCAATTCATCAATACCTTTACCTTTACTCAATCATTTTTACATCATTACAAGGAGTCAAAGTCTAAAAAGCATGTGAAAATTAAAAAAACAATCACCATATTTACCACTTCTAAATTTGTTCTTTTCCCTCAGCTTTCATTTTTATTATTAAAAATGCTGTAGGAGTTCATTACCTGCCAATAACAATCAATTTGTGCAATTTAAGAAGATACCAAATCCTAAACCTCATAACACATCATTTAACCTTTAAAGCCTTTTGTGCACAATCACAAAATATCAACAGCTTGTTCATAACTTTTTATGCTCCCACTCTAACAGCCTTCATGTAATACAGTCATTGATATTGATGAAAAGCTCTACAGCATGTGGTCTGGACTTATTGTCATGCTTTTAGTTAGTGACTGAACTTTTGGATAATAACACTCAAAAAGACAAACAGCACAAGAAACAATCATAACAAAGAACCCTCCAAACAGACAAAACATCTGAGCTTCCTGTTTAAAACTCCATTATCCCTCCACAGTATGAAGGTGTGAAGACAGAGAGAAACAGTTTATTACCTTGATGCTCTCTCTGTAACTGTCTTTGCTCCACATGTACTTGAGTATTGGATACATAGGTCTCCTGTAGTTGAATTTCTGTTCAAACTGATGAGGGTCACCTGGAAAAAAACCCAGTTACCTTTAATTTGTTTTCCAGCACTGAGCTTAACTATTTACCTAGTTTTAAAGAACACAGATAAAACCCATCAGCCTTTTCAAAAACAATTTAAAAAAGGCTGACGTTAGATGAAAGATGCTGCGGGCAGAGTTCTGATGAGAGGTAGAAGGATTTCTCCAGCCCTATTTCTCCAGTTTTAGCTTCTCTCCTATGGCTCCCAGTCAAATTCAGAATAGAATTTAAAAAAAAAATCTTGATTTTAACATACAAAGTCCTCAACAACCTAGCTGCAACTTATATTGCATTTATTACTTTGATTTGACTTGACTACAGATCTTATTGTTCCGTATTTCCTAACAGAGCACTTCTCTCTCAGATTGCTGGTTTACTTGCGGTTCCTAGAGTTTCCAAAAGCAGAATGGGAGGAAGATCTTTCAGTTATCAGGCTCCTCTCTTGTGGAACCAACTTCCAGTTTCTATCCATAAGGCTGACACATTGTCCAGTTTTAAGACTGGACTTAAGACTTTCCTTTTTGATCAATCCTATAGTTAGTTTTTGAGTTTCCTGACCATTAGTTATGCCACTTTAAAGTCAGAACTAAGGGATAACTAAGTCCACATAAGCGGTTTCCAGTTGTCCGAGACAAACTATTTTTGGCTCGGACAACCAGATCTCACCTCGAGGTTGTCCAGCAGAAAACCTAGTAAAATAGACATGAATTAAAGTTCTCTGTCGCCATGATGTATTTCTGTCATTTTTACCATTTGTACAAATGAAAGGGGGATAAAATGTGTTTTGTCGTGATCTTTTTAAAGCCATCCAATCTAATGATGATACAGGGATTAAACAGACGCTGCTTCCAACAAATAAAAACAACCAGAACCACAGTTTTACCCAATCAGAGCAGAGCAGGGCGGGGCCTGCTGTCTGATACACGATGAGTTCAGAGCAGAGACAGACTGCAGGTGAGAGCACCAATCAGCTTTTCCAGTACTATTTTCCAAGGAGGACACCCTGCTGTCCTAACCGAAAGTGCTGACATATAATAAATTATTAAACATCTACGTATTAAGCGTATGTGTTCGCATGTGACCAGTTCACTGCAGCTGGGGGAGATGCCAGAACTGATACACACCTGATACACCTTTACCCACTGCACCGTGCCGATCTCCTCGGGACTTTTGCATCTACGATCTAACTGTATTAAACGTTAATGTGTTCTGAGAGTCGTCATCATCAAACAGACATGTACAACGTGTGCACATGACCAAACTCTGGGTCAGAGAGAGCGAGGGCGAGAGTGAGAGACGATGCTGAAGCGTGCTCAGCCTGAGTGTCTCTCACGGTGAGAGAGGAGGCTGTTTCTGCTGCGTTAGTTCTTATATTTAAACAATATTAATGCTAAAAGATGGATATTTATATGTCCCACATTATAGCAAAGATTTGCATCTTTGTTTCTCTCTGTGAGAGTCAGTTTCAGTTGTTTGTACTTATCCTAAAAATCTGCTAAATTAAATTCTATGCTGTACAGTGTTTTAGCAATAAAAATGTGTTGTGACTGTTTGGATGTGCTAAACTTGATTATGTCTAGAATCATACTGAAAGGTAACTGTGCTGTGATAAATGTGATTTAATAAATGATCAAATAAGAAAAATGAGCTGAGATCTTGTAAATATAATCCCTTTGAATGAAATAATCAATTTAGGGGAGACATCTGTCAGTCTGGCAAATTTGAAATAAAATAAAACAATATTTTAAGTTAATTTTTACTGTTGGAGATGGGGGCATTACTTGGATAATGTCTAGGTGGAGATGAAGTCAAAATACTTTTCTAATTTAATCCCCGAGTCTTGAATACAGTGCGAGAAACACTCTTGTAAAATCTGATGAAGAGGATGAGGAGGAGAACGAGGAAGTTTCAATCGAGCAGCTCCTGAAAGAGTCTGCCACGCAGTAAATGGTAAATGAGATGTACAAACCGGATTCCAAAAAGGTTGGGACACTAAAAAAATTGTGAATAAAAACTGAATGCAATGATGTGGAGATGGCAAATGTCAATATTTTATTCAGAATATAACAAAAATCACTGATCAAAAGTTTAAAATGAGAGAATGTATCATTTTAAGGGAAAAATCTGTTGTTGCCAAATTTCATGGCGTCAACAAATCCCAAAAAAGTTGGGACAAGTCCATTTTTACCACTGTGTGGCATCCCCCCTTCTTTTTACAACACTCAACAGACGTCTGGGGACAGAGGAGACCAGTTTCTCAAGTTTAGAAATAGAAATGCTCTCCCATTCATGTCTAATACAGGCCTCTAACTGTTCAATCGTCTTGGGCCTTCTTTGTCGCACCTTCCTCTTTATGATGCGCCAAATGTTCTCTATAGGTGAAAGATCTGGACTGCAGGCTGGCCATTTCAGTACCCGGATCCTTCTCCTACGCAGCCATGATGTTGTGATTGCTGCAGAATGTGGTCTGGCATTATCGTGTTGAAAAATGCAGGGTCTTCCCTGAAAGAGATGACATCTAGATGGGAGCATATGATGTTCTAGAACCTGAACATAGTTCTCTGCATTAATGGTTCCTTTCTGGACATGCAAGCTGCCCATGCCACAAGCGCTCATGCAACCCCATACCATCAGTGATGCAGGCTTCTGAACGGAGCGTCGATAACAACTTGGGCTATCCTTGTCCTCTCTGGTCCGGATGACATGGCGTCCCAGTGTTCCATAAAGAACTTCAAATCGTGACTCATCTGACCACAGAACAGTCTTCCATTTTGGCCACACTCCATTTTAAATGACCCCTGGCCCAGTGCAAACGTCTGAGCTTGTGGAGCTTGCTTAGAAATGGCTTCCTCTTTGCACTAAAGAGTTTCAGCTGGCAACAGCGGATGGCACGGTGGATTGTGTTCACTGACGATGCTTTCTGGAAGTATTCCTGAGCCCATTCTGTTATTTCCTTGACAGTGGCATTCCTGTTTGAGGTGCAGTGACGTTTACAGGCCCGGAGATCACGAGCATCCAGTAGAGTTTTACGGCCTTGACCCTTACGCACAGCGATTGTTCCAGATTCTCTGAATCTTTTGATGATGTTATGCACGGTTGATGATGATAACTTAAAAGTCTTTGCTATTTTATGCTGGGTAACACCATTCTGGTATTGCTGCACTACCTTTCTGCACAACAATGGTGGAATTGGTGATCCTCTTACCATCTTGGCTTCTGAGAGACACTGACACTCTGAGAAGCTCTTTTTATACCCAATCATGTTGTCAATTGACCTAATTAGTGTTAATTGGTCTTCCAGCTGTTTGTTATATGCTCAATTTCCTTTTTCCAGCCACTTATTGCTACTTGTCCCAACTTTTTTGGGATTTGTTGACACTGTGAAATTTTGAATCAACATATTTTTCCTTTAAAATGTTACATTTACTCAGATTAAACTTTTGATCTGTCATCTATGTTATATTACGAATAAAATATTGACATTTGCCATCTCCACATCATTGCATTCAGTTTTTATTCACAATTTGTTTAGTGTCCCAACTTTTTTGGAATCTTGTTTGTACATACTTATATAGCGCTTTTCTATCTAATCAAGATATTCAAAGTGCTTTACAACACAACCTGTGCTCTCATTTACCTCCACACAGCTCACTACTACATCTCTACAAAGCTAATCTGAATCTGTAGATTATTCAGTGCTTTAGATCACATTCATACACCAATGGGACGCACATCGGAGGCAATGAGGTGTTCAGCGTCTTGCCGAGGGACACTTCAACATGTTACTGCTGGTGGAATTGAACCCCTAACCATTGGAGTAGCTTGGAAACTCCAAGCAGTCCACAAGATGGCTGACTGAGAACATTTGTATATACCAGTAGTAAATTTTGTATATAGTGCAATAAACTTTTTAAATTACATTTTTCTTTAGATTGTTTTTTTTGCTTTCTTTGTTGTAAAGGTTGCAGACAAACAAAATTTTTAGCGGACAACCAGATACAGCGGTAGTTGGATGCATCAAAAACAATGATGAGTCCAGCTACAGGCAGGAGGTGGAACACCTGGAGAGCAGGGGCAGGAAGAACAACCTTCACATCAATGTGAATAAGATGAAGGAGATGGTTGTGGACTTCAGATGGAATAAACACACCTTTCCACCCCCCACCCCTCGGAACATAGGAGGATCTCTGGTGGAAGTGGTCTCCAGCTACAAGTACTTGGGTGTACACATGAATGACAACCTCAACTGGAGCAACAACACCACCAGCCTGATCAAGAAAGCTCATCAGAGACTCTACTTCCTCAGGCGGCTGAGACGAGCTGGATTGGGAAGCTCAGTCCTCACCTCCTTCTACAGGTGTACAGTGGAGAGCATCCTGTGCTCCAGCATCAATGTGTGGCATGGAGGCTGCACAGCTGCAGAAAGAAAAGCTTTGCAGAGAGTGGTGAAGGCTGCACAGAAGACTGTTGAAGTCAGTCTCCCCACCATCAGACATCTAGATCTCCAGATGCAGGAAGAGGGCCACCTGCATCATGAAGGACCTCACTCACCCAGCACACGCACTTTTTGCCCCGCTTCCCTCAGGCAGAAGGTTGAGGAGCATTAAGTGCAGAACCACCAGGCTGAGGAACATCTTCTACCCTGAGGCTGTTAGACTCATGAATCTCTAACTAGAATAATCACTGTGAAAATTACTGTTAAAAACAAAATGGTTATTAATCACTGTGGAAAAAAAAAATCACTGTGAAAAAAAAACCCTGTGAAAATCACTCTAGTGCCACTTGGTTGTTGATATGTGCTGCTGACTGTTCGTGGTGCTGATCTCATGCTGCTGATTATTTCATGTTGCTGTGTTCATTCGTCCTCATCTGCTCACACAGACTCATGTTCGTGCTGCTGTTGTTTTGGCACATTGTTTTTGTACCATTAGTGCTTAGTGTATCCTTAGTCTTGTGTATTCTTAATTTAGTGAATGTAGTATATTCTTAGTTCATGACTTGGATCTTACTAATGTTTTTCTTTACAATTTGTATTTTTGTTAAATGTAACTGGGACCCTGCGTACATAGTTTTGTCCCACCTCATGTATCACGTGTGGTGTGTATGACAAATAAATCTCTCTGTCAAGAGACAATTGTCTTATCCCTGCTAAAGGACTAGTGGAAGACAAACTTACCACATGCACTGCGGCTGCCTTTACCTGCGTTATTCTCCAAATTTATGTTTGTACCTGTAATTATTGCTACCATTAACATAACTTTTCATGTGTTTTTTTCTTCTCATAGAAACTAGACCTGGACCAACTATTCTGTGTTTGTGTCTCTTTCCCGTCAAACACCAGCAAGTTTCATCCTGAGCCTGGTTCTGATAGAGGTTTCTTCCTGTTAAAATGAAGTTGTTCTTTTCCACTGTCACCAGCCTACTTGCACAGGATGTAGGATTACAAAGAAGATTCTACACAATCTGCTGGTTTCCTTGGATAAATAACTTAATGGCATTTCATAATGCATTGTTTTTGAATGCATTGCATTATATCAGGAAATAAACTGGCTGTAGTGGGATTTAAAACTGGCTCCGAATTAGGTTAATGATTTGGGATTGTTTTTTTTTTTCTTTTTCTTTTGCCTAGTGCCGTGAGATGAGTTTTGTTGGGAATTGGCACTATACATAGACATATTGTAACAGACCAACTGTCCCTGCCTTCTTCCACATTAAAAATGTGTGTCTTTAAGTCCCTCCAACTTGCAGGCACACAGTCATGGTGTTACATGACCTCTATGTTAGGAAAATGCAATTTAGGGATAAACCACTGTAAGAATTATGTCAATCAACAAGAGTTCACTTCTAAAAAAATGTCTGACATATATTTTATTTAATAATGGTAATGTCCCTTTTGTTTACATGTATAGGCGGGACATGTATTGGAAGAAAGCTGGTCTTGTTCTGGCTTCAATTTCCGAGTGCCGGTCTGAGGTCTACTATGTTTACTGTCTTTGGCACTATATAAATAAACTTAATTGAAAAATACACCCAGTTAAAATAACTGCATGTAAAAAAATTTAAAGCTCAAGTAAAAGAAAAGTGGTATTGTTTTCTTATTCTTGAACGTATCCCTTCTTAGTTCAGACCTTCTTCTATTTCAAATTCAAATTCAATTCAAATTCAAAAATACTTTATTAATCCCAGAGGGAAATTATATATTATTTATTTATTATTATTTTTATTTATATATTATTTAAGTGTTTTAGGTTTGTTTGATGAAACACGGTCTTCAGATCATTCAACACGTCTTCTTTACAACTTTGCAGTAATATTTTGAAAAGTTAGACATAGCTAGTTAAACCTTTTGAGAAACTGCTTTACCTGTAAATTCTATATCAACGAACACGGTGATGAGGGCTTCGGCCAGTTGAGGTGCGTGTTTATAAGAGCAGAAGACCCTCTCCCTCTGACACATGATTGGCTGAGCAGCACCAGGAGCCAGAGGCTCCATGTGGGGCATCACTGCCTCCAACACCTCGGCAAGCTTGGCTCTTAAATGGGGGTTCTTCATCCTGTCATGCATATTGAATAGAAACAAATTAAAATCTGGGAAATGGCTTACCTTTAACTTTACCACAACAGTCATGACAGAGAACATTACATACCTCTCTACATTACCCATAAAGACAGTAATGAAGTTAAGAATCTGCTCCAAACTTTCTGCAGATGTCTCCAAGACATCCTCTGCAAAACGTCGCAGGAAGATGAAAAAGTCTCCCAAGTTTTCTGCAAAAAACTCTGACAAACAAAAGTTAACTTTTAGTCATGACTATCCAACTGAGGAATGTTCAGTAATGATTGCACGATGAGTATCTACCTTCAACCAAATTGAATTAACCTCTGCAGTCACTATAAATTATTTGTAGAATGAACATACTTTAAATGACTCATTAGCCATGAGACTGAAAATTGCAGCGAGACATAAACTGATCTCAATTAAAAGGCCAGTTATGTTGACATAATGCATGTCGACAGTTAAATAAATTAGTCAGTCTTCAGTGAACCAACTGAATTAATTTGACAATGTTTTGCTCCACACTCTGAACCCACCTGGTGTATAGCAAAGCATGGTGTTCTGCAGCAAGGGCAGGGGGAAGCTGAGTGCTACATGCTCAGGCCCCTGGTTTCCCATACTGAGCTGAACAAGCAGAGCAGCGGTGGAGGCTTGCAGGTTAAGGCAGCATTGCAGCATGGTGGGCTGTGTGGTGGCAGCTTTTGTTGACAGATAAACAACCATCAGACGCTCAAACTGCTCCAGGAGCTGCTCTGACATGGGGTTTCCTGTTCGCTGGGCATCTTGCCAAGTCACCTGGAGCCGGTGGAGAGACTGGTTCATCTTGACCATCTGCTCATGGAGTCTGCACACACATACATCGTACATACATAATGACATTACCACTCAGACATAAGGATTCTTTTACATTGCAGACAAATTACTTGTCTTGACTAAATATGATATTTTCTATAAATGTTCATCAAAGATTTTAGTGTGTGATTAGTTTCATATACCTGTTGAAGCCAAGGTGCATGGTGAGCTGTGTGAAGATGAGGTTTTCAGTCAGAAGGCTGTAGGATTGTGCAGGCTCCACCTGCTGCTGGGGGGGCACAGGGATCATGCACGTTTCCTTGTCAAGACCTATTAATGAAAAAAAAAAACATTTACAACTACTAGAATCAACTGCACTAACTGTTATTAATTAGTACAACCAAAACAGCTGAGTTATTATCAACAAGACCTTGACAGATTTTCTCACACAAACACTGACCACAGTGTAAATTGATCTAGTTTTTTTAATCTGTGACCCTATGTTTTAAATGCTTTTTATTAATTCTTCAGTTATTATTATTAGTGTAT